GCTTGTCTATCAGAGTTCCTTGCCCATGGCAGGGGGGTTGGAACTAGATGGTCTTTAAGGTCCTTTCCTACCCAAACTGTTCTAGGATTCATCAGTTGCTCTTCTGGAACAATTTCAGTGAAATGCAGCAAATCTTGAATTTACCAATGTTTGTGCTTTGCAGGGTAATTCCATGGGTAAGAAAAGCTGCCAGTCCAATTGCTACCCACAAACACCATGGGAAGTGTTGGATGTTGGGACATCATCACAGAACTGACCTCACCCTACTCTCAGTTTGTTGTGTCAGGTTCTTAAAGATCCACAGATACAAAATTTGACGTCTTTGAAGGTTCCCATTTTGCAAAGTTGATGCAATTTCATATATTCTCTCTTTTTTTTAATGACTGTTTAAGCCATGTTCTTTAAACAATACCAGTTGTTTATGATCAAAGCTACGATAATAAATCAGCATGTGTAGAAAGGAGAGAAATCTTTTATTTGTATTGATCTTGTACATGGATCTGGTATTATTCAAAGTGTTTTCAATCTGTCAGAGGCTGCTCAGTGGAAAAGCACAGATCTTGAATACTGCTAAAATGCCTCTGCAGTGTTGCAGCGTGCCTAAGCCCCATGGAATGCCACATTTTTAATGACATTTTTCCCATGGCGTTACACAGAAAAAGAGATAAGAGAAAGAAGCCAGCATGGGAACTCTTCAGTATTTGAAGAGGAAAATCTAAGAGAAATGGAGTTTAATATTTGTGCTACAGCAGAAAGCAGTGGTAGTGCTGCTACAGGCTCCATGAATCACAGCCACCACAGAACAGCTCCTGTGAACAGCATGGTAAAGATGCCAGCTAAGAGGATAAAGCAAACCTGTAACAAGCAGCTCATAAATTAGTTGCACACATCATTATCTTCCCAGAAACTTTTACTGAGTGCACTACCAGAAAAGGGGCCCACAACACGAGTTTGCCATGACAACAAAGTGCTGTAAAGATCAAGGTGACTTCAGCTGGAAAACAAAAGTGATGTTCAGGCCTAGTGGTGCAAGAACATTATTACCAATTTTTCTTCAGGAGGATGTCAGCCACCAAATATTTTGCTAGACGTCTCGTCTGCCTGTGAGCTGTAAAGCTGTTGAAAATCAGACTTTGCTCCCATTCCCGAGAGGTATTTGGGAGCACAGCAACGCTTCTCATTCATTCCTGAGTCACCAGAGAACACTGCTCTGCGCCTCCAAACCTCTGCTGCCACCAGGAGGTGAGACTCACATGCTCCACAGTGGCCACAAAAATCGGTGATCATCACATCTCTTCGGAAGGAACTGCTCTGCCAGAAGCAGGGAGAGTAGGAGACCTCTGAGCTCTCTCTGTTCCTTGTCCTGGGTCATCTCTGGCTCTCTCTCCATGGTCCTACTTGATCTCAATGAGGAAAAATCTACAGGTGGAATACAGGGGAGTCTGTTCTCACCTCAAGAACCTGTGTGTAGGTAGCACAAGTCTTATTACACATGTACTAATAATAATGAGAGAGAGAACAAGAGAGAGGTTGCTAGGAAGGAAATAGGCTTTAGTTTAATTTTCCAGTCAGGTATTACACAACAAATCACATTGATTTCCTTCAAGAAAAATGCTTGGTCACTGACATATCAATAAATACATTTTATCTTTCATTCCTCCATGTATTTAATTTTTCATTGTATTCTTCCAACTTTGCAAACTCAACTGCATGAATTGTTGTGGATATTTTTTCTTAAGTACCGATCTGAAAGTCTGGTTAAATTGACATTTCTAACATTTCCCTGACTGTGATGTCACAGTGTGCCTCCCTGTACTTGTTTCATTATCAGGTTAAATGAAGTCTGCTTCCAAAGTGATTTTGTGGTTCTTGGACTCAGAATTGGCAGTAGTTTGGGCAGTTTGACCCCCAGCTGCTGCTGCCTGCTCACTGCAGACAGTCAGGTGCTGAGTCACAGAATTATTTGGGTTGGAAGGGGTCTTAAAGATCACCAAGTTCCAACTCCCTGCCATGGGCAGAGATGCCACCCACTAGATCAGGTTGCCCAGGAATGAGGGAGGCTCTTAACTTTCCTGTTCTCTCTGAAGTGTTTAAATTCAAAGCTCTTTTAATTTAATATAAATGCACGTTTTGCTTTTTACACATAGGACTTTCTTGTGATTTCTTTTAACATCTATATTCAGCTGTGAGTAAAGTCAATTTCTGTCTGTGCCTGAAAATATTGCACAAATCTTTATTTAGAATTGTTAGAGATAATGGATACTCAGTGGGGCATTTCTAGAAGTGTTAGCAGTGCAAATGGCCTCATCTGGGCAACGCAAAGTTTGACTGCAATTGCTGCTCCCAGGACTGCTTGGAACCTCAGCTGGACTAAGTGCCCAGTCACCACATCCCTAACAAGAATCACCCACCCAAGCAGTCCCCACTCAACAAAGCAGGGAGGGAAGGCTCTGTCCAAGGGATTTGGAAGCATTTAGCCAGGAAAACTTTGGTGGTGTGGGATCAGAGCCACAAAATCTGCATTCCCATTCATGTGCATCCCCCTTCCAATGCCATGCAGAGGTGCAAGTCATGTAAAGTGGGGACCATGACTGCTCTAGTCTCTGGAAATAACTGGAAAACATTTTTTGGGAATCTGGGCTAGAAGTGACTTAACAGAGCGATAGGAAAAGGGAAAGGCTAGAGCATCTTGCATAGGAATCAATATTTCCTCTAAAGTTAATGCAGTTTTGGCAAGGGTAAAATTGCTGGCAAAGCAGAGCCTTGAAAGGTTAATGAACAGCAAAAACCACATCTGGAAGGAAGACAATTTATACTATTTATTCTGACTTGTAGCATTCCCTGGTTTTTTGCTATGATTTACACTTTTCAAGGAAAGGAGGTACCCACATGACCATAGCAGAGCACAAGCCTGGCTTTTACCAGGGATCTGGGCACACTGGGTGGATAACCAACCGTACCATGCTATGGGAACCTCTCAGAGTGACAGCAAGGTGATATCAACACCTGTTTTTTCATGGACAGCAATAACAATCACAAGTAGGAGGCCAGGAATAGTCACGAGGATTTAGGTCTAGTTAGTCCTAACTTGAGGCAGAGGAAATGGACTAGATCAGCCTGCAGGAATGCCCTTCCTTCCCTGCAGGGCTTGAGCTCTTAACTGCCCATGAGTGGCCAGAAGTGGACACACATTTGGTCAGCAGTGGTGGGACCTGATGGCTCAGGCACTTGGGACTGCTGATTGCCTGGCCAGAAAGGAAGGCAGCTCTGGATGCACCCCAAGCAGCTAAAATGACCCCGTCTTTTGTAACGCTAACTTAAATGAGGGTTAAAAAGTTACTTAAATTAACCTCCGAGTAAACACATTGGTACAGCAGCCATGACTTCCAAACCCGTGACCTGAGGTGAACTTTGTGTTCTGTTAATAGCTCTGCAAATCACTGAGAAGACACTGGGTACCTCCTCTTGCTGTGGAAAGACAACCTCAGGTCACTTCAGCTGGTCCAAGCTTAGGCTTGTGGCTCTCACACCCTTGATCCCTGCAAAGCTGGAGGTCACGAGAGTGATTTTTGCAAGAGAGAGTTGTCCCACCATCCATGTCCTCACAGCCAGCCCACAGGAGATGAGCTATCACCCTCAGTCACTGACATGCAGCGCAGGGACCATCAAGATCAGCACCAGGTGGGCAAACAGTCCACAAAGCAGACAGTGCTTCATCCAAGTACAATTAAAAGCAATTGAACAGGGAATAATTTAAAAACCCTTTTTATTTAGACCAACACAAGAGCTAGATAGGATTTATGAGCTAAGTTTTTTGGTTGGAAAGCCAGTGTGTGCTTTAAAGCATTGTCAGAGACAGAGAGGATACAGTCTGGAATACTGTGTGGTAATCATTTGTAAAACTGCATGAGACAGATTTTTTTAAACCAATTACTTCCCGTCCGTTCAGGGACAGATGAGCCCCCAGCTAAAATTCCTTTTCATTCCGGTGCTTGTAATGATGAAGATGAAATGTGATTTTCCTTCTAACAAATGCTCCAAAAAGCAAAACCAGAAAAAGCATGTGTTTCTCTGTTATGGAAAATAGGTCTCAGCATGCTGGAAATTCTGTGTTTTACTTACTTTCTACCACAAATGCCCCATTTTTAAAGAAATGAATAATGTAATCATTTTCTCTGATTTATGTTTTCGTTTCTGCCTCATTTGGGACTAATGCTGTGTTATTACAAGAACAACTGTTCTCTGCAAAAAGAATGATCTTTAGACTTCTTATCCAAAACCTGTGAAGTCACTGGGAATGAACTGCAGGGAAAGGCAGAGAGGCCGTGGACACGAGCAGCAGTTGAACACATTCCCACTGACCAGGCAGATTTCCTTCTTGTCTCCCAATGACACAGAGCTGCATTTTCCTGCACCTTCCCAAACAAAACCTCTCCTCCAGGTAGGGTGTCAAGAACGCCACCGGCGCTTTTTAGAAACAGATAAAGAAATGTGAGTCAAACGGGGCTCAGTAGAGTGCCATGAGCACAATCAGAGCCTGGGGACGCCTTCACTGGCGAGCATCCCTGGGGTTCGACACGGCCGCCTGCACCCTCATCAGCATCAGGATCGCAGCAGTGCTAACGAGTGCCACAGCTCCCGAGCCCTCGAGGGTTCAGACGTGTGCTGGCAAGCCGAACAGCAACGAGGAGCATCTTAACAATGAACTTGGAGAAGAATCTGCAGGGAATTAGTGTCAGGCATGTGTAAAGAGGGTTACTTTTCCCATCTCCAACACCTATAATTACATCTCAAAGGTGCTAATAAAATCCAGTGGTTACAGTGGGGTTTTTTTCTCAGTGTGTCAAAGTTAAGCATGCTGCCGTGACGCCTAGGAAAAATCAACTTTCTTACACTTCAAATCGCCACGAAACCAGCAGAAGTGACGACGGTGTTCCCCGCTGAGTCAGAAGGGCTGAGGTGCGCTCCCGGCTCCCGGGGGCTGCCCCGGCCCTGCCGCCTCAGAGGTGCGGGCCGTAGAAGGGGCCGAGGAACGCGGGGCCCAGGAAGGGAGCGAAGGGGCCGGCGCCCAGCGGGAAGGGGGCGGCCGGCGGCACCAGCACGTTGGCGGCGGCGTAGGAAGGGAAAGTCTGGAAGGGCAGAGCGGCGGGGCCCGGCGGGCTGGGGCTGCCGCCGCCCACAGCCGCGGGCGATGCTGCGGGGGCCGCCCCGTCGGAGCCCGGGTGCTGCTTCTTCCACTTGGTGCGGCGGTTCTGGAACCAGATCTTCACCTGCGTCTCGGTGAGGCTGAGGGACAGCGCCAGGCTGAGGCGCTCGCAGACCGACAGGTACCGCGTGGCTCGGAACTTGTTCTCCAGGGCCACCAGCTGCTCGTAGGTGAAGGCGGTGCGCGCCCTCCGCGGCTTCCCGCAGCCCGGCTCTGGCCGCCGCCGCCGGGCGCTCCGCGGCGAGCCCGGCTCCTCCGGCCCGGGCGGGCTCGCGGTGCCGGTCCCGGTTCCGTCCCCGCTCGGGTCCTCCTCGTCGCGCTCCTGCCCCGCGTCCTCGGCGCCGCTCTCCGCCGGGGCGTGCGCACCTAGGTGAGATGGCGGGGCTCGTCAGGAGATAGCGCATCCTCCTCCCGTTCCCCTTCTGAGCCCCGCGCTTCTGCTCCGACATCCCTCCCTCCCCCCAGCATAGGGCAATCATTAAAAATAAAATAAAGAGGAGAAAAATTCCGCCCGTCGTGCGAGAACCGGGCCCCCCCCCACGTCCCCTGCTGTGCCACCGCATCCGCGGCGGGGAGGGGGGAGCCGTCGATATGGATTTCTTACCAATTAAAAAAGAAGTTATTAAAGTCCCCTTCTGAAGCGAAATAAATCCCCCCCTCCCTATCCCTGCGCTAATGGAGTTTCAGATTTGCGAGGGCCAGATCGATAGATGTCATCTATTAAAGGTAAGTTTTAATCGAACAATATTAGGATCAGGCCGGGGGAAGGAGGTTTGAAGTGGGCACCTGCAAGCTGCGGGCAGGAGATAGGCGGGAGTCGGTAATAGGATATCGATCACCGGGAGCTAAGGCATCCTCCGGTGGGGACGGGCTGAGCAATTACCCAGCCGGCCGTCCCGTGGGCCGGGGCATCCGACCGCTGCCGCCCCGGGGAAAGGAGCACCCGGGGGCCGCCCTTGCTGGAGGAAAGAAACCCGTGCGGTGCCTCGGTAAGAGCCGCGGCCCGTCCGGACGGGATGGGGCGGCGGCGAGCCCTGATGTGAGCCCTCCTGCTCGGGCAGCAGAGGATGCTCCGCACGCCGGGAGCCGGGCAGGGCACAGGGATATCGAAAACTTTTCGCTCTGCATCATCAAGACTTAAAATCCAGTTCCAGCCCCCCTTCCCTCGTTCCTGCGGGACCCCGCGCGGGGAGCGCGTCCCGCCGGCCGCGGGGCCGAGGGTCCCCGTCTGCCGGCGCCTCCACCTGCGCGCCCCGCCAGCGCCGGCCGGAGAAACTCGAGCGCGTTCCTACCATGTGCCTCTAGTTTATTCCTCCCGCTGCCGGGAGCAGCAGCGTCCTTTCCTACTTCAACTCTTCCCAAACTTTTCTCCCGCTCGCCCAAGCGGGGGGCGCTGCCCCAGCTCCCCGAGGCCGGTTCGCGTCTTCTGCTGAATTTCTGGGGATCCAGGATGTCTAAGATGGAGAAGGAGATTTTATGATGGATGGGGGCCGCCTTGGCCCCTCGCTCCGGGCATTCCGGCATCCCACCCCACCCTCCGCGCTTCCCGGAGACCTGCTGGCTCCCAGCGCGGAGCGCAGCGCCGGGCGCGGAGCCGGGCCGCTCCCGAGCCGCACGCTCGGTGCTGGCGGCGCGGAGTGAGCGCCGGGGAGGAGGGTCGGCCGGGGAGGCGGAGGGGCCGGCGGCGGGGTGGGGGCAGAGGAGGGGGCAGCGCAGCCATTGGCACGCCGCCCCCGCGCCCCCTCCCCGCCGCGCTGGCTCCGCGGGGGCGCAGCGGGCGCCTCCCTCCATCCCAACCTCTCCGGGTTTTCCCGTTACCTACCCCGGGTTGGGCGGGGGGACGTGCAGAGAGGTGGGCAGGGGGCGGCCAGGAGCCTTCGGAGCCGGAGCAGGGATGCGGCTGCACCCGGCAGCCCGACGGCTGCTGGTGTCCCCCGGGGCCCGGAGAGCCACGGGCTGCACCTGTCCCCTCACCCTCCGCTGAGCCACCAGCAGCTCTCCCGGTCAGTGCGGGACCAGCGGGGTGAGCCTCGTGTTCAGAGGGACCCAGAGAGGAGGGATGGCTCCTGCATCCCCCTCCTGCGCTGGGCAGGATCCAAGCTCCAAGCACTCCCTGTGCCAGCTGCCACTGTTTGAGATGTGAAGCTATTGCCCGGTCCTCAGGCAGAAAGGAACACCTTTTCGTTTGGGAGCAGCTTGGGATCAGTCTAGTTCAGACTCTGGGCCACTCCTGCAACTCTCCCATGGTGTTCACACTGTTCCCAGTTAGTAGGCAGGGAAACTGAGGCCTGCCTGTGCTGGAGGATCTCCTACCCACTGAGCAACCCCTTAACCAGCCATCCTTGTCTTGGGGAAAACACTTTGTTGCCTGTTCACAGCTCTAACTGGGATACGGTAGGTGACAGCAGGCCAAGCCTCCCCACTCTGCACCAGCCCTGTGACCACTTCTAGCCAGTCCTGCTTATTGAAAATGTGCTTGCAGTATATTTCTGCACACCTTCAGGGGGATGCTTTTCCCTCTCCTTGGCATTTCAGCATTTGTTGGTGCCACAAATCATCAGATAGATTGGAGAAAGGCACCCTTCAGACAGGGGTGGCAGTCCTCAGGAGGAATCTGCTACTCCACCTGCTTCTATTCCTATGGAAAGATGCAAAGCACAGCCCTCCTCCTCCTCTTCATAGCTGTCTCAGCCTTAGTAGAATTTGGCTCACAAATAATTCTTGGCATAGGGCTAAAGATAAAGAGAGAGCAAGAAAATGAGATGATGATGTGCAAGGCTGATGTGATTAAAAGTAACTATTAATGTTAATTATCCAAGAACCCATTTGACATGGGCCTCTGGGGTAGAACACCACAAGAACGTAGAAGAGAAGGGAGCTCAGACATTAGGAGTTCACACCCACATGCTACAGGTGGCTAAAGCTTGGTTTTGGGGATGTGGGAGGTGGTGAACTGGGGAAAAAGTCTGGTATATGTGAGACTACAAGTACTTCTGTTTGAGTTGTTGGGTCTGCAGGAGCTGAGTATGTAAATTGCAGCATTGAAATGAATCTGTGAGCTATGAGACGTTTTCAAATATCATCAGTTTCACATGTATATACACAAAAACCTACAACAGCCTACAAACATACATGCATGTGGAAATGCTCACATACTCACGCATTAGTTCCAGCCTCTGAAGTTGGTCCATTTCCCAGCTCAGGCATTAAAATTCAGCCCAAGTGCTATCTTTAAATTGCTTTGATGCTAGGTGGGTTTCAACCCTGACCTGTCCTGACGGCAAGTGATGGCTGTAACAAGCTGTGGATCAATATTCATAGCGGGTGTCCTGCTCTGATAACACTATCCAAGACAATGTTCACTATCGCTGCAGACAGCTGAGATATTGTGCCATTAGTAATGTTGTTTTAAATAACCTGATCCATTTCTGAGTCTATTTAATGAATTTCACAGTTTAGATATTATCTTTAGGGAGAAGCCAGAGGCTATTCCAGGAGCAGTGATGCAAATCGATGCTGCCAAGGCTCCTCTGCTTTCCTTAAAACAAAATGGACTGTAATTCCACCACAGCTCCTTATACATTCCGGGAGCTGTGCCGTGCTATTGATGGCATTAGCGACGAGAAGATATTTGGGAGAAAGCAATACTGTCTGTAAACCTGGAACACAGCCGATAACATCTTATCTGCGATTGTAAAATTCTTTATACGATGAGTCAGTGGGGTTTGGTTTTTTTTACCCTTGGTTGTCATATGAATCACAGAACGGTTTGAGTTGAAAGGGATCGGGTTAATTCCACTCCACTGCCATGGGTGGAGTGGCTACCTGTCGCTCTGTTGGGAACGGTGAGAAGCACGACACAGACTCTCTTGTGGGTTGAACAGGAGAGAGCGAGGTTTATTACCTCAGATCTTCTTTTATAGACCGATATGTGAAAGTACAGAAAGGTAAAACTGTTACTGGTTAGTGAACTAACACATCACCATCATTGGTCAGTGGGGTACACCACCCTCCGACCTTCTCTTGCAAGAAAACAAGAAACTGACAAACAGCACCTGCAAGGCTGTCTTCTGTCTCTGAGGATTGTTTTAATTCCTCCTTATGATTACCCAGGCCACTTTCTCAGGCGAGACTGAGAAAGTTATACGGCCTGCTTTTCCCCAGGCACTGTGCTCCCTGCTTTTGCTCGTATTTAGCATCCACAGCTACTTTGGCTCACGCAGCTCGCCCTCGGGCAGGGCCAGCAGCGTTTCCCGGCGGGGCGGAGCGGAGCCCGGGACTGCATTTCCCGGCAGCGCCGAGCGGCCATGGCGGGCGGCGGCTGGGCCCGGGCCGTCAGGGGGCTGCTGCTCGATGTCAGCGGCGTCCTCTACGACAGCGGTGCCGATGGCGGCGTCCCCATCGGCGGCTCGGCCGAGGCCGTGCGCAGGTGGGTGAGGACGGCCCGGCCGAGGGAGGCCGTGCGCGGTGGGTGAGGGCGGCTCGGGTGAGGGAGGGCCGGCTGAGGGGGCCCGGCGCAAAGCGCGGGCTTGGGGCGGCACCCGGCTCTTTTCATCCGCCGTGCTGTGCGAGCCCCGCGCACGGAACCGGAGCTTTGGGGGCCAGCTCGGTGCTTCTGAGGATTGTTCAAGCGAAGGGAGCCCGCAGAGCCTGGGCTGACGGGGAGAAGAGTGTGTTGGTGTGTTATTGTTCTGGATTTGCTGTTGGCACCGCACGTGTGGCAGGAGATGTGCCATTATCTCCTGGTAATCATTTTTAAAACATTACCCACGTCGGTGTTTCTATAAATTGATTAACTTTGCTGTCAAATTAGCTGGATCTTCTTGCAGGGCACTTGCAACCCAGAAATGGAGAATTTCTGTGCTGGGGTTAATGATTGCCCAGCTTGGAAGTGACTCAGAAGCAAAGTGGCCTTGGTGAGTTACTCCCAGTGCCCACAGGTAGGGAACTCCTTCACTTTTAGCTGGGTCATGCTGTCCCATGTCGTTCTCGTGTTGCTACACGAGCGAAGTAACTTCAACTTAACGAACTTTAATTATTTAGGTTGCCTTGCCAGTGTGCCTGTATTGGCCCTGCTTGACCAGAGGAGCAGGATGGGGCCAGGGGAGAGCAGTGGCTGCAGGGACAGCTTTGTTTAAAGACAAGTATTGATCGTGTGGTTGTGAGTTTCTGGAAGAGCCTTTTGGCTGGCTGTGATGTTTCACTCACCCACGGTGGAAAATCCAGACTCACCTGGCAGGTGGTGGATGGGGCTTGGAGCAACTTGGGATAGTGGAAGGTGTCCCTGCCCTTTTTAGGGGATTGGAACTTTAGTGTTCTTTCCAACCCAAATCACTCTGTGTTGCTGTATGTACCCCACTTGAAATGTTTTAAATGTCTACATTCTGAACCCCTGTGAAACACTGACAGCGCTGCTTGGTGAGCATCTCTGCAGCTTCTGTCCTCTGGGGCCACTCAGCACAGACACACTTAGGACAAGTGTATTATTGAGCAGAAAAATATGCAGGAAGAAATATTGAATTCAGTAAAATTAATCATATGAGTTTAGTTAAATATGTGCCTGAATGCTGGTGTAACCACATGGAAAGGCAGAACTGGAGAGGATCCAAATAAAGTAATAACAAAACTGTTTGCTGCTTGCTTGCTTTTTTTTTGTTTTCCATAATGATGTCTTTGTTCATATTTCTTGAAACACATGTAGGATGCACAGAAGATGTTATCTGCTGGATCAGAGTTCCCAGTGCTGTCAGAGAGCAATATTTGAAGTAAGTTTAAGGCTTATTGAGTCTCTTGGCCAGTTTGTGGTGCTCACCTGGCTGGGAGAAGCTGCAGGTGCCAGGACAGCCCAGGGGAGAGCAGCATTCCCAGGGAATTCAGTGAAACTAGGCAGAGGGAGAAGTTGTTTCTCTTGAAATCCTGTGGCCTGTGGTTCTTTCAGGGGATTGTGCATGTGCAGAGCACAGCCTGGGACAGCCCAGATCATATCCAAGGCCTCCAGGCACAGCCAAACCAAGCATAAATAATAACTGCATAAATACTGTCAGAGATCATTCCTTTAGAAACCAGGACATACTCAATAATACCTGTGTCGTGGTTCACTAGATGCTTTTGACGTTGGTTTTTTGCTCCTAGATTTTAAACTTCATTTTCTGTTGGGTTGCAGGCTGTTATTTAATAACCTTTGTCACTGCATTTGCTGAAACCTCCTGCATGGAGGCAGCATAAACTGCAGTCTAACTTACAGTCACATCAGAAATATGCTGATGAAACAACAGTAAACTCTGGCCTTGGGCTAAATGTAGGAAATTATGGGCTTTCTCTGGAAATCCTGGAAATGTCTAAGCCCTTTTTGCCTGTTAGTCACAGGAAGCCCTCAGCAGCTAATCTGACCTGTCTGCCTGTCTGGAAGGGGCTGCAGGGGTCTTTGAGGAGGGTTTGGAGATGCAGTCCAGCAACAGGCTCTGGAATGCTGTGCAGGGAAAGGTGATCTCGTTTGGGCAGGATTTGGTGAGCAGTGAATGGGAAAGTGCCAGGGAGGGAAGAAAACCTCACTGAACCACTTCGTTCAGGTCATTCAATGTAAGTGGTGAAAAATAATCATTTTCCTTGGGTAAAGTCAAGCAGCCTTATTTATCTGCCTATTAGGTTAGTAATTGTTCTGGCTCACACCATTTAAACTCTTTATTGACTCATTATCCTATTGCCAGTTGGTCATTAATATTTGTGTCTGCATCACAGTACAGCGGGGTGGTTTCAAGCAGATGGATTAAAGCTAAAGACCTATTTTTTAA